CCGGTGTTGACAATGAGGTTATGGTGACGAAAATACACTTCCTGGGTACAAGTATATGAATGAAAAGATGAAATATCAAATCACTGCATTGATTCTTCAATGGACTGGCTCTGAGACAGCTGTCTGTACAATAGTCACCCGGTGTTGCAAACAAGTTTATTGTGACGAAAATACATTTCCTGGATACAAGTACATGAATGAACGGACAAAAGATTAACGGATACGCATGCCTGACGAGCGGCAAGAACCACGAAACCGGTGGGTGCATCAAGGGTCGTACACAAACTACTTATTATGATATATATATATATATATATATATATATATATATCAAAGAGGGTGGAAGTGCACCTGACCAAACTTAGAATCGACTTAATATGACTATCCATCCACACCGAGGAATGTAGGAGTCTCACAGAAATTATGGCTTAAAAATATGAGAAAGTTCTGAAGCAGAGAGGCCATTGATAGTCAGGCAACAAATGTACCGTAAAAGAGTAATCCTTGGAAGAATCGCAAGTGTTTCTGGGCGGTCCACATGCTAAACCATTTAATTAAACGAGTAACTGAGATCGCCTGTCTCAATTTTGCACAGAACGCAGTTTTACCTGTCATGCAGTAAATGCTCATATAAAAATCCCCATTGCATAAATGGAGTCCAAACCACTCTTCGCATAGATGGACTGTTATCGGTAACTGTCAGCGAGGAGCTGTTCAAGACAACCGCTGCCACACGTGACAACCAGGTTGGTTTTGGATCTGGTCAATGCTGCATCGACCACATTTTTACTCTTCGCCAAATTTTAGAACATCTTTTTAGAAGACCTAAACACGTCAGTAAGTACTGGAACATTATTTTTGGTAACGTTTACATCTCTCATCAAAATGATTGGCTGTTTGGCACTAAGAGCCGGCAACATGTATTCCGGGGTTTGATGCAGAGAGTCACATACGGCTGAAACAGAAAAGGTGCGTGGTGCTGCGGCATAGCGAGGCCATCAAATGTCACAGATGAGCAGCAAAAAACTGTGCGCCATGTCTCGAGTGTGCGTTGGCGGATAGCACTTTTCGTCGTCCTAGTTTTGTCGAGTCTCAACCAGCGGGATGGTGTTCGCGTATCCTCTTTGACAGCTGCTTCGTAGTTAAAGCAAAGTAGCTCACTCCACAGGAACAGGTGAACGCGCAAAGGTACATGGATGCGGTTTGAGGGGCAGTTTATCTTTGAGGTGGAACCGTATTACTAAGGTCGTATTAAATTCATGCGCAGCTCAGTTGTTTTAACCGTTTGATGCAACGCTTGATTGATTCATCGTGTAAGTCACTCCGCCACACGGTAGTTGTAAATAGAGTGGTTTTCTATTAACCGCGTGCACTATCGGTCACTGGGGTCTCACTGTTAAATATTTATCGATTATTATCTGGGTAATCATTTGGGCTAACAAAGTTTTTGATGTGTTCTGCTACGGCATTGGGAAAGAAACTTTTTCTTGCCTTATCGCTAGGCATCGTACTAGATTTCTCTTTTGTTTTAATTACACGGAGCTATTCGGATTTCCACATTTTTCATCTCCATGTTGGTTTTCTGTATATTCCCCTCTGGATAGCTCCATCTGGGTTTTCGGATCAGTATAACATCCACGAATGGAATTCGATCATTGTTCTCTCTCTCGATAGTGAAGTCGACTGAGCTGCGGCTTGCGTTGAATGGTTCCAGCACAGACCCAGTGTTGGTTGTTTGGCTTCTTATGACAAAGATATCATTCACGTATCGACAGTACACACTGAAACTGTACTCTCGAGTTCCCACATAGATATGTTTGCCAGCAATGGTCCCAGAGGAGATCGCATTGCTACTCCGGTATTCTGTTGGTAAATTCGATCACTGAACAAGAATTGGACGCACTGAAGCGGAATCTCTTTCTGATTTACAATTGGTTATCTGCTATGAATTCGCATAGAAATTCTGTAGTTTGTAGAAGGGGGACGTTCGAGAAAAGGGAAGCCACATCTAGAGAGTGCATTGTTTGTGATGACATGTTTATGTTTTTGGTCCATTCGGGATGAGGATCAGGTAAACAAACTAAGCATATTTTCTGTACATAGTTTGTTGTGATCAAAACCAGATCGGGGAACACTAATAACCCTATATAATTGTAATGACTTGTAACTGATTTATCGTAAAAACGGCTTGCATCGCCTCCGGCATATATGCGTTTTTACACAAGTCTGAATTTAGACTATCTGCCAAACAAATCATGGTACAACAATCTTTATAAAAAGGAAAACGGCCCATGAGTTGCTCGAGGGCACGATACTGCCAGGTTGCCAAGGCCAAAGCAGGTGAATTTTATTAGGGAATCGGAACCGGAGTCTTTGGTTAGCCAAGGCACGCAGGACAGCGGGGCGATGTCCAGTCCATCAGATCATACGCCCTTTGGACGGGTCAAACGTGCAAGGTGCACAATACACCTTGATACCCAATTGAGACGGTAACCATTGTCACCTTGGAAGGTGTGTGTGGTGCGTACACTTGATGAGTTTGGAATCAAGGCTTTTAGCTCACTCCCCTATGTGAACTGTCAGTGGTTCATCGACCCGGTTATCGCCCCCGCCTAGCCTACCGGACTTTGTTTTCAACATGGCAATTTTTTTATTACACATTTATTAGTGTCATTAACAGCAGACGGGATGAAACCCATAGTCACGAGGACCTGACGTTCAGTGACGGAAATCGGTAAACTAGGCCGCGGGACTTGGAGTGGCGAACCACATAAGGCCCCGATAGGCCAGGCGTGGTATAGAATCGGGCGACAATGAAGTTGTCTACAACCAAAGTTGATCACTGAAACTGCTCACTAACCGAACAACTGAAGCCATTAGTGATTGTCATTATAGTTGTCAGAAAAGATTTTTCCAAATGAAGAAAGACAATTAAAAAAGGGACTTCTATAGGTCAGGCAAACCAGATCGGACTGTTATGAGGTATCGAACAGGTGTCGCTGACCGATTGGTAGATAAACTTGGTATTATGCTCTTCGCGACTCCGAGCACTTCGGACATTTGCCTTTATCATCTCCCTCTCACATAGATAAATAAAGCTTGAATTTACATATCATTCTACGAATTTGATACTGAATTAGCACCGTATTATATTATACTGCTTTCTCATCTGCACAACAGCTTTCAGCTCAGAATACAGCCGCGTGCTCCGTTTGGATTTACGCTTGGATAAGATTACAGTAGACAACTGAAAAACGCAGATACCGAACCAGAAAAGAGGAAGTGTAAGAGATACACTGTGCTCCTTTCACCTGATCAACAGGCTATATGCATGCACTGTTGCTGCACAGAGTGCAATAACGGAATGCACATATCGACATCATCATCTAACCGTGGTGAAAGTTCCCATGAAGAAAAAAAAGTACAAATCCATAAGACCAGCGATCGATGGTAGCGTGCCAAACATAACAGAAAGGAGATAGAGAGAGAGTTAACAGGGTGACAATCTTCACTGTTTTGTTTCTCAAGGACAACAACAGTGAACACAATGAATGAATGAATGAATGAATGAATGAATGAATGAATGAATGAATGAATGAAAGGACAGGAAACGAGTCCTTTACCCTCTCCAAAATTCAAATGTTGAGAGAATGAGATGTGGAGACTACATCAATACCGTTTTCAAACTCTGACTGCTTGAGCTCTGTAGAGGAGTGAATCCAAATAATTAGGCCTATTCAATGTAACGGATTGCCAATAATGGTGAGACAGATGTCGATGGTGATGGTGGCTGAGTGGTTGAAGTCACCGAATTATCACCCCCTGGGAGGAAGTGTGTTCGAATTCCACCCCCACCACCGGTTGTATGGCAGCCTTTTGACTGACCGCTGTCCCCTTCCTGAACATCGCATCAGTGCATATTCAATAAAATGAAGTAAAAATGAAGAGAAAAAAGAAAATAGTATGTACCTTTGCCTAATCAATTCATGACTATCATTGAAATCTGAGACCGAAAAACCTTACAGTAATTCAGTAGTTGGATAAAAAAGATCGTTTTCATCTCAACGATTTATCTCGTTTCCCCATGACGACCTGAGGCAAAGGATTGATTTGGATAATCTAAACCATGAAGAGATGATATTTTTCACAAGAGCAGGAGTAGGCGATCTAGTGATGCGATTCGAGGTGTTAAGTTTATATAGAGAATACGCAAGGAAAATGGACCAAACGAGGCACCTACATTGGCAAATATTGAGCAACCAACGAAATCGATCTGAAAAAAGTCAAAGAAGCAAG